CTCAGAATTCTGACTTTTTTCCCATATTAAACTGAAATAAAATAAAAAAAAAAATCTACTTTTTTGCAGTGGCCCTAATCCTCTTCCATACATTTAAAAAGAAAAAGAAAAAACAAAAACATCACATGCATTTATTTTGTGTTTAGGATGTGATTTCTTTCGACATGTTGCGTCATGGCTCCAGTAGGAGGCGCTTTTATACAAATGGCTGTTTTTTTTTCTTCCTTCTATTTTCTATTTCTAACTAAAAAACAACAAAAAAAACAAAACACAATTTTAGAAATCTTGTAAGATGTTTAAAAAAAAAAAAAGGCAATACGTTTTAAGCCAAATGATTAAATCAGGAAATGCACAAACAGGTTTCTTCTTAAAATCACTCAGGGACATATCATGGTTAATATGAACAGGGTTTAAATATAGTAATAATATATATGTGTGTGTGTGTGTGCTTGTGCGAAACTGTGCAGTAGGAGTTAATTTGTAACTCTTTAAACCTTGCACATTTGCTTTCTTGTGGTCCAGACTATTTAAGCAAGATCAGTTCAAAATGGTTGTGTGAAGAGGTAGGACTCTTTAAGATTTTGAATTTAGGGAGGTATTTAAGGTATTTGAATTTGAGGTATCATCTAGAAATGGGTTACTATCTACTAATGGATTGATTTGCATCTGCCTGCCAATCCAAGAAAAATAACCCTGCCTTACTGGACTGTGGAAGGAAGCTAGAGTACCCAACAAACTGGAGAGAACCTAAAAAAAAGAAAGATCCGATTTAATCTTAGAACTTTCTTACTGCGAGGAAAAAGTGCTTTCAAGATCACCATATAGCCTAAAAATGCAACATGGATTGAATTACGGCTCAAATAAAACCTTTTCAAAAAAATAACCCCAATATCAACATTTGGTCATGACGTTAGCCCACTCTATACTCTTTTTTTCAAAAATGGAATAAAATTCCAAATATTTGTGTGAGTTGCAGGTATAAGACAATGGGGAGGAAAAAAAACTACAGCTTTTATTGCTTAAAAACATATATGACTGCAAACAAACTAGGAAACCAAAGAGGAAGCTAGAGCCTGCAAATAACTACCTAAATTATTTATTAAGCAGACTTTAAAAACAAGGTGTGTTGAAGAAGGGCCAACTCCTGGAATCAAAAATACCATTCCCAGTTTGCATGTATGGCTGGTTTAGATAAAGGCTGCCCCCAAGTGGTGCAATGACATATATGCAAACTGCAGTCACACAAACAAGAGGAAGGTCAGCTTTGTTAAAAAATATTTATTGAAATGAATTCACAGTTAGCTGGTGGATCAATAAAAATGAATACACATCGATCCAAATCCAGAATCCCTGAATGCTAATGAGATTATAAGAACATGGTAAAATAACCCAGCATTTAATACCATAGTGAGCCTTTAGAATTGAACATGCTGACTCTCTCTATGGTTAACTGCTAATTACATTCAGTGATAAAAAAAACAACACATTAACAAGAAATAATATTATATATATATTTCAGTGTTTCAGAGTAAGAATACTGATGTCGGTCTTAAAGGCTGAACATTGAAAAATCTGCAATCAGTTATAAAAACTGTTTTTGTTAGCTAATCATTAATCGACTTCTCAATAGAATAAGAATATCAAATGAAAAATCCAGTTTTAACTCTGTGCTAAAGATTTAAAAGAAACTTGAAGATGTTGGTGTTACAAAATCAAACCATTTATTCAAAAACTTATTAGAAGCCAAATATTTGTATCAAACGCAGCCATGAATGATGCTCTTAACTGTGAGACCTCTTTGTTTCTCAGACACTATGCTGTGATACACTTTACAATCCAGCCTCTCTTGTTCCGGTTCATTAAAAGCACTTTTAGAAAACAACACCTGGTTTTGCGGATTCACCTCAATGCCATACAGCTGGCAAAGTTTGGCTGTAAAAGATGTTTCCAAGCACAAGAGCTGTGCTAGTCTATCAAGAGGGAAGCGGCAGTTGCGGCTGTTGTATCCGTGGCAATATATGAGCAGTAAGCGTCTGCGACATGTCAGCAGGTGGCGGTGCAACGCACAGGCCTGCAGGAAGTCCAGCTTCTGGGCTAATCGGAGTAATCGCACAGGGTTTCCAGCCTGAAATGCTTCATTGATTGCTAAAGCCAGCTTGATTGAAGGAGCTTGGCGCAGGCGCTCAGGGAGTTCCAAAATATGCTGTGTGGCAAGACTTGACCCTGCAGAGAAAGCATGAATTCAACAGGTTACAGACTACATTCTTAGTGAAATGCCAGCTCACTAAAAACAGACACCATATGTTCTTAAATGGATTCAACGTATATGATATTAATTCAGCATAATTCCAACAAATATAAATCATGTAAAAAAATAAAATAAAAACGACTTGATATTATGCTGGAAAAAAGCAATTGTGCTAGAGTATACACTATAGTTTGCAGGTGACTTTTCAGCATGTAGTATTCTTGAATTTATCTCTGGATCTAAATACAGGGTTTATACATGAATGAGTAACTCTTAATTAATGCCTTTTAATGCTCTTAGAAATAATCTTAATGTCATCAACAAGTACCATGACTTATTTTATATATATATATATATATATATATATATATATATATATATATATATATATATATATATATATATATATATATATATATGTGGCAAAATCCTTCGTCATCTTGACCGTGGACAGGCTGCAGCCATGTCCCAAGTTCCTTGTTTTTCCCGCCACTTTGGGGGGGGTTCACAGGAATTCTGAAGGTAGATGCTGTATTTCAGAATCAATAAAATAAATTTGCCTACTGATTGGCTCCTACTACAGAAAGCTTAATGTTTATATGGTATTCAAAGGTGATTCAGCAAGTATCAGGAGAAAAATATTGCAACAAGGAAATTAAATCCATTAAAATGTCCCTAAATTGTTTTAAGTCAATAGTTTCCAACTATAATGAATTAAAAGGAACCTTTTAGTTAAATAGAGCTTTGACAAAACAAAAACCCAGAAATGTGAGTAACATCTACAGTAAGTAGAAACTGACCCAGATTGTAGAGCAAACCAAGAGTTTGAAACTCCTCTTGGTTTGGGTATGGTCCACTTCCAGTTTTGTAGCAGTCCAACAGCCAACTGAGGTATTCCTGTAAGTGTGTATCGTTGATGCGTGGATCGTAAATCTGCAGGGGTTCACCACAAAGCCGATATGAAGCGTAGATGTGGAAACGCACTGTTAACTCCAAAATGGCCACACAGTCCTTTCCAGACAACCTTTGGACGATCATGTCCTGTTTCACGCTACGCAGTCGATCAAACACAAAGCTGTACACCTGAAAGGGAACAATAAGTTTGTTAAGCAAAGGAGGGCATAACCTTCATCTGACAATTCTGGGGGTTGTGAACACATACATTTGATTGATTAATTGACTTTATTGATCTCACAGTGGAGAAATCTACTCGTTAAATCAGCTCAAACAGTCAAAAAGAGAAAAAAGTGCCAAAAGAAGATTTGACAATTACCTTGGAAAATGATCCACATTTTACTTTACATTCCACATTTTAATACATTACAGTCTGAATCTTTATTCATTTTATTGGGATCTTTGTGAAATTTATGTGATGGAGGAAAAGAGTAAATAATTATCAAACTGAAATTTTTTTTTTTAAAACAAATAATCTGAAAATCTTTACTTACATGCATAAACGGCATCCCTGCCCCCCATTCATGCAAACCGCCTTGTGCTTCAATCATAGCTTTTAGTAGTACTTTCAAGGGTTATACAGAGAATGAACGTTCATGCTCATTCATTTTACCAAACAGCTAATTTATTATGTCTTGATGTAGATACTTAGTTCAGTTATGTTTAATTGTGCAGTTTTAACTAATATGCTTTGCTCTAAGCCAGGAGTCAGCAACCCGCTGCTCCAGAGCTGCATGTGGCTTTTTAATGCCTTCCTTGCAGCTCCCTAGAGCTTTTTCAAAAATTTATGAAAATGGAAAATATGGATGCTTTTTTTTAGTTAATTTTAATATGGTGTGCAGGATGTCAAACATTCATTGTGTTTTCCAATGTTGTAAAAATGTAAATAATAAATACATTTAAACAAACGTAAAAATTTCTGTCAACGAAGATTTGTGTCATAACCCGCAACACACGTTTCAGCATGGCGCGGTGCCAGGATGGTGGCTGTTGTAAACAAAGCAGGAGATCCAAAAGGGGAAAAAAGGAAGATGGCTGATGAGAACAGAGGATTCAAAGAGGAATTGAGTGAATCAGTTGCTTTCATTACCAATGCGAAAGGATAGAGTAGAAGAGTAATTTGGAAAGGCATTTCCAGGGAAAACATGCTAAATATGCAGTCGACCACCAAGTTGGGAGAGAGAGTAAAGGTCCAATTTCAGTACTTTTGGGTAAATTAGAGGAGCGCAAAGATTTAAGAAGTGGATCACATCTCCAAACTCCACTAGTTTGTTTCAAGCATGGAAAGCCGTCCACAGATCGAAAAGGTAGCGCTCTGATGCAGATGTTGAACTTCGTCCATTTTTTCCCAAATCCTCATAATAAGAATAACACCAAAAATATGATTACTTTATTGTCTTTCTATAATTTCTAGCCTGGGTGCCATTCCGAACTTAGTCCCGCCCACAAGGTTTGAGGTCGGGAAGTTCGGTCTGGCTCTGCTCCATAGTAGCGCAAGTATTATCGCCCACTGTCAGGCGATCCAATCAAATTGTCAGGGCGGGCTTTATACGATGATGGACAGATGATCAACAGTAACGTAATCAACCACGTGACCAAAGCGCGCTTGGGTGACAACAATAATGGCTGCCGCCGGAGAGTTGAGGTGAGTAGATTCTGCTATTAGGTCTGTTCTAGAAGATATCGACAGCAAATTAATTTTAAAAGAGGAACAGAGAAACGCGATCAAGTCTCATCTTCTTATTCTAGGCGTGCAACTGCACGCTTTGATTTTGGTTGACAACAACTATGCGTTGCTTAACATACGTCACGCACTCCGTTGCTCTTATTGGTTGTACGTCTGTCCAATAGAGTGCAGAGGCATTTCTTTTCCTGGTTCGTTCAAAACACGCCCCATAATCACAGCTCTATGGAGCAGTATCAGACTCATATTCTGACTAGAATTGAGTAGGACTACGTCAGGCTATATAATTTCATCAATGCAACAAAACCTTTACAGCAGAGTAGTCACATGATGTGACATTTGCTCCAGGATAAACATTTAATCATGAATACCTACTATACATTTAAGCCCAGGTAGTCCATATTCATAGTGGGCTAATACACTTAGTTGTACGTGTTGCCATACGAGGCTTATATAAGACTATTACATTTTTGCGGCTTCAGACAGATTTGTTATTTCATTTCTTCGGTCCAATATGGCTATTTGAACATTTGGGGTTGCCGACCCCTCCATCGCACTTCTTGCTGAATGTTTGAGGCTTTGTACTGCTGAAAGGTGAATTTCAACCCCAGTCACAACTATGCTACCTCATGACCTTTACCGTACTTTTGCCTGTGGTTGAGTAGGATTTAGGATTCCATCACAAGCATTCCCATAGCTTGGTCTGCCACATGTGGTGTGATATTAGCTTTCTCGCATCCATAACATTCTGAAAGAGTTCTCTTCTGTTCAAGGTAGGTTTGTCAGGAATCAGGAATACTAAGGTTTGAAACTTAACACTGTTATGAAAGAAAATATTCCATACTCCGTACCATTGGGAAAAAAACAAAATAATAATAATTTCAACCATTAAAAAAAAAAAAAGATTATTTTAACTGGAAAAACATACCTTTATCAATCTCATCATGGACATGCTTTCTCAATAGAATCAAAGATGTCAAATAGATTCAAAATAAATAACCCAGATACATAAAACTGACAATAACAAAAATATGCCAACAACTAAGCCAAATAAGTAATGCATTCAGACACAGTGTTTGAGTAATTTCCAATTTTGTCAACTGCAGTTCAAAGCAGCTTCTTCCATTAGTTTGCTTTGATCTTGCTAAATTATTTGTTAAAACCTAGAAGTCATCATGGCTGCCCTTCAACAGTCTCTCTAACGACTCTAGCATATGAGCTGTCGCGCTGCAGTTATATCAGTGTTAGCATAAGCTTCTTTGCTGTTTTATTGACCAAGGTGTTTCTCGTGGTGATCTTTTTTTTCCAGCACACCTTAAAACCCTTTACAGCAGAGCAGTGCTACTGCTAGGATTAAATTGAACAAAGTTCAACTGAATTAATTAATCAATTTATAGTGGGAATTGGTTGTGTCTGGATTTATTTAGATGTGTTAAATGTGATGGGAATTAAGTCAAATGCACATCAAACCTTCAGATTTGTTTTCAGGGGAAAAAAAATATAAAATGTGTAACAATTTTATTCCATTTGAAAATTATGTCACGCTTTTAGCTAAACTTCAAATGAAGCCATTATAAGTTTGTGGTTTCAATGCGAGATCAGGTCATATACATTGTCTGCATAGCACTGCAACATATAATTTACCAAACGTTTAAGTAAATTGAATTTAATTATTCAGCAACTTTTCTCCCTTATATTATAAATATCTTAACAGCAACATTTAAAAAAAGACATGACCCAAAAACCCCAAAGTCCGGGAGCCCCGCTTACCTCAGTCCATGGCTGCAGACTAGGTGACCCTGCAAGCTCATCAATGAGATAGAAAACAGTCTTCAGCAACACATCAGGTGGTCGCAGGTCAGAGGGCTTTGTCACATCTTTCCCTGCTGCTGGTCTAGAATATTCTTTGACGGCACGCAGGGGATCTCCCCTTGGCTTTGCAGACTTCTCTGTTCCTGGGACCACTTCGAAACGGTGAAGCCGGTTCTGAGACTCACGGTTCAACAGTTCCTTATGAGGGCACATGGTTGGACAAGTCCCTCTAGGAACCACTTCCTTTCCTCCTTTTCCAAAGTCCTGCTCTTCTTGTTCTACCCCTTTCTTTTGGGGTTTGCTTTCACTTTGACATCTCTGTTTCCCCCTCTGTCCACCTGATGGTGCATTCCAGTTCTGTGAGTAAGAGCTGTGGAAGAAAAACACTTCCATTAGTTGTTGAGTAGTTAAAACAGTTTTTGTATAAAAAAAAAAAATGCGATTTCTTTTCCTACAGTTGGTATGCATAGAATAGTAATTCAATCAGTTCATCAGTGAGGGTCTTACTCCTTTTACATTTGCAATTCAAACAGAGATATATATGTATCTGTTGTTTTAGTTGGGCATAGTAAAACTAAGAGGCTAACATTTTACACATAAGGACTGTGTGATTCCCAAATTGTTTTTTTTTTCTCTTTATCGAAGTCTGAGTGTGTGTATCTCAATTATGTCGCTTAATTTGTCCCAATTTCCATTTTGGAGACAGACAGGTACCTCAAAAATAGCTTCTAGAGGACAGTTAGCTTGCTAACAATTTCAGGGTGAGAATAAAATCTAAACAAAGCAATATGTAGAAACATTTGTTTAAACCATGGGCTATTAAAAACATATTTTCCAAACTTATATTAAACAAGATGCCTGAGTAAAAGCGGAAAAATAAATATGTGCACTTACACACACTTGTTTCTCCTGCGGTTCATCGGTAAACGTTAATATTGTCACTTTCCGTTGGCGTCCAATGAAAACAAAGCAGGTAAGACGTCACGTCCGGGAAACATGCACAAAATAAAAGCTGGTAATACGTCACATCCGGGAAAGATGCGTTTTTTTAACTCTTTAGTGAACAGTTTCAACGTTACAAACTAGGGAAAAGAAAGAATCTGATATGAAAAAAAAATAAAATGAAAAAAAAAAGACATGAGTAACACACCACATAAATTGGTTACAATAATAATAAAATGATGATGAACGAAAAATAATTAATGTTAGAACTTTATACAATCATATGTTTATATTACTATTTTTATGTATTTATTACTGTTTTCAAGGCTGCACTTTAAAAAATGAAATTGTCTAGAGCTGTTTTAAACGAAATTTCTTTTTGTTTACAATCGTGTATACAAAATGATAAAATAAATCTAAGTCTAATGTCTAATGAAACAAGCCCACACGGGATAAGTCATATAATATTAACATTTCTGAGATCCTTAAGGCAGTTTTTCCAGTATTTTTATCAAGCAATAAAGATATTTCAAACCACTGTGGAATGCCTGAAAGTTTAAAGCAACTTTAAAAAGTCAAACACTGTATATTTAAAATTTACCAAAAATTACACAGGAGGTCCACATCTTTGTTTTGAGAAGAAATTTCAAATTTAAAATCACTACATTCAGTCTTAGCTACGTTTTTTATTTTATTTTTTGATAATAATTTGTAAATTCTCTCCAAAAGGACTTAATCTTACAACTTTAGAAAGACATTCCTGAGTTTATATGTCTTTTTGAGTTACATCCATTACTATCGAACACAAACCTTAAAAACCTCAAAGGATAATTGTACCGGTAATTTGTTTTTAAGTAAACTTCTCTTATCTTTGGTAAAAAAGGAAATGAGAAAAAATCTGGTTCTAATTGTAAGGACATCAATTTCTGAAAACATGACATTTCATTTTACATGGTTGTTCATATGTTCTTTTAACATTTTATTGTTACATTTTTATTTATCAATACAGAGTTGGAAACACAGGCACTATATCAGAATACCGAAGCATTCCTTAACATTGCCAAAAGAATTGCCTTGACCGCAAACAGAAAATGTTTCTGTGGACAGTCTAAATTATATTTGCTTTTAAAAACTGTGTAACCTAAAATGTCACCCTTTTTATCCATTATTTGCACAAACGCCCACAAACCATTTTCCTCGCAGTGCTTATAGTATCATTTTCTTTTTTGTAGAATATGTTATCTCAAATCATTATGTGGAGTAAAATTGTATTTAGCATTTTCCAACATATTAATACACATGTGTGGTAATCTAACAACTTAATTAGCAACTTTGAGGGACCAAAGTCACATCTAAACAGAAATTTAACTTGAAAAACATTGAAAAAGCTGTGAAGGCAAACTATTTTAATTTTTTTATAAGCATCTGCAGTCATTACAGCATCCCTCCCACTGCTACTGCTTTACCTTATCAACCGTTGTGATCAAATGCCGTTAATTAATCCAGACAAAACTAATGAAGCTGCTTGATTTTTGATTTTTTATCAATTGTACTGTTTAGTATATTTAAAGTGTATGCTGGATAAATTAGACTCATCATCCCTTCTGTGAAAATATTTCTTTGAAGCCTTAAAGATTTTTTTCCCCCCCACATTATAGGTTGAATGTTCTTTACTTCCTATCAAAAGGATCCTTATAAATGGTTACACCCAAATTATTTCATCACATTTTGATATCACAAATTAGACTAGCTGTAATGGATTGATCAAATTTCTAATTATTTCAATATTACGCAAGTTTGTTTATGGTTACAAAAGCACAAAGCCACAAGTAATCAGTGTAATCATAAACACATTCTAAGGTGGAAGCAGCATGTTAAATAAAGAAGCCTTTGAAATAAGTGTCAACATTTCAGACACAAATTACATTCCTATTGAAATACAGACTCAGTTTACATACCATATGGCATCTCATGATTATAAAACCGTTTTATTATTAAGTCAGTCATGGAATCATGTCATTTCATTGATTTCATTTATTGATTAGTCGTTTTAACATATACAAATGAGAAAAAAAAGTACACTAGAAAACCATAGCCCTGTTGCCATGCTGTCCAGTTTTCTTTAGTCTCTGGGGCAGAATAGCTGAAGGGCTCTTGAACTCCCAAGTTGTTCTTCCTCGACGGCCTGCTGAACTTGGACTGAATGACGACAGACCAATGATGAGAGCTCTAAAAGCTCCGAACACGTTCTTGGGAAAAAGAAAAAAAAAAAAAAAAAATCAGAAATTTGAGTACTTGTTAACAGTAAAAGCATATCTTTGGTTCCAACATAAAGCCGATACTGTTAAGCCCAAAATTATTCATTACTTTGGAAAATTTAGGTCTAGAGTTTTTTTTTTTTTATTATAAGTGAGACATTGTGATTTGAAATTTATACCATTCTATATAAAGTGGAAAAATGCATTGCATTACATCCCTTTTTTCCCTTATATATGATCAGCTGGTACTTAATATTTTTTAATTATGTGTTTTGAGCATTATCTGCATCATTAAGTAGACAGCGTTCATATTCCATGATCTGCGACCAACAAAGATAAAGTGGCCGATAATTTCTTTAAATCAAATGTACTTTGATGTAATGCAATCTTAAAGCACAAGGTACATTTGCATTCAACACTTGAAACCATAAAAAAAAAAATTTTTTAAAAATAACACAAACAAAAATCACAACAAAGTAAAGTTTGTGATTAACTGAAAACATTTCAAGTATCACTTATCTTGCAAAGTACTAAAGCATTTCCTATATTGTACCAACCCTGTAAGCTGCTGACTGATATCCTTTGACATAGTTTTCATTTCCCTGAGGCATTCTAAAGATGTGCTGTTGTCCACATGATCTCCCCGTGTGCATTCCTGCAACAGCGTCTCAGTTTGTTTCAGGGAAGCCTCAGCTTTATCTAAAAACAGGGATAAAGTTAACGTAAATATCAAGACTTCCATAGGATCCTGTCAAAAAAAGGTGGATAATTGTTAAATCAGGTTATTTAAAAAGAAGCTTATTTATGTTTGAAGTAAAACTACAGTGGATGTAGTATGGAATGTCCTGTATAACTTCTTAGTTTCAAACATTGTTATAACCTAGAAATTCTCTTCCATTCCCATTTATGTAGAAGTTCTTGACAGGCAGCTCGTGACGGGTGGTGTCAACGGCAGCAGCAAAACTCTTATAATCCTTTGTAAACTGGTTGGCTGCGTCGGCCACAGGTGTCAGCTTATCAATCTGAGAGGGAAAAAGGTCCCATCAGTTAATTGTTAACTAATGATATTTATACAAACAAACATTGTTTTACTCAATTTACAGAAATATGATCTAGTGATAACCAATACTGTTAGGGAATTATACATTATGTTCTTTCCAATGCATTCCAATCACTTGATGACAGACGTTTCCTTTTTTAATTTTTCTTGTTTAATTTTGTATTTGTTGTATTAAATAATAAAATTTGTAACAGATGAGTTCCCTGTAAATACAGTTAAAATAAAACTGTGTCTCTCTAGTTTGGATGTTTAAAAAAAAAAAAAAAAAAAAGAATAGTTTCTGGTTTGGATCAGTTCAGTCTCTATTTTAAGTAGATAATCGCTACGTATGGGGAAAAAAAGCTACATCTGCAAGGAGTTTGAGTGTACCATTAAAAACAGCATTTAAGTTTTGCCGTGGGCTGCATCTTAACCTGTAGGTTAAAAAAAAAAAAAAAAAAAAAAAAAAAGCGGGGGTCAACGGTCGCTATATCAATCCAGCCACCCAACCTTTTCAAATATATATAAATAACTAATATTTGTTGAGATAGCTTTTCTCTGGGATCATCCTTGCATGATGCGATCTTTTTACCCTACCCACAAACCAATCACTTCCAAATGCAAATTTCAAAACATCTTTTTTTCCTTTTAAACATACGTAAATGGTACCAATCACTCAAGCAGGAACTACAGAGGCATCCGTCAGGTTTTTCCCAGTCAGTTTGGATATTGCGTTTTATTTGTGGTCTGACTTGTCAATTTCTATTTTCTAAAAAGCTTTTCTAACGAGAAAGAAGAATTACAAGGTTATCCACATCAATGCATCAAAGCTTTTTTCTATAGCATCGATAAAAAAAAAAAATAAATAGAAAAACTAGACAATGTTGATTGATGTAAGGCCCTAAGGTAAGAGGTCTTAGTTATGAGTTTAATTAAGAGGATAAAAAAAATAAATAAATAACCACCAAGGAATATTGGAAAATAAATTTCCAGTTTTTGGTTACTTATTCCTCTGACTTCTGCGCATCTTGCTCAAATCCTAAAGCTTTTTTTATGTATTAAAAAAAAACAAAAACAAAGACAAAGTCAATAATATGCAAATAAATAACTTCTTGCTACCAATGCACTTACTTGCAGGTCCAAGATCTCATGCAACTGTTTTTTCTTCTCCATCAGAAGATATTGGCTCTTCTTCTCATTAACACTACTATGCAGTCTCTGTTCCTCCGTCATAATTTGAAGGAGCTTTGCCTCTGCTTCGGCTTTGAATTTTGCAGTATTATTCTCCATCTAGTAAACAAAATATTTTGCATATTTTCATTTCTTTAAAAGTATTCCTTTTTCAAGAGAACATAACACAAATGTTTTTGTTTTATCTACATTAATATGGGCCAGCTGAACGCAATAGAAACGCACAATGTGAATCACACAGTGCTAACCAGTCTTACCTTAGCTGTAAGATAGGCGAGTAGAAATGTTTGCATTTCTATAATCCTCTTGTTATTCTCAGGATTTCTCTCAGCGTCCTTTGAATTCTCAATTACAGTTTTGTCTTTGAAAGATGGTTAAAAGAAAATGATTAATTCACAGTTATTTCTGAAAGCAAGTTTAAGGTTTCACATACCTTTAATGACTGAAATATCAAAATCTGGTCGAAAAGCGTGGCCATCGGTAAAAGTGGACTGCAGGACACTTTTACCAAGGAGGGAGGATTCAGTTTCACGTGAAAAGGTGGCTTTAAAGAAAAGAAAACAATATAACTAAAAGTTATTTTGATCTGACA